AATGATTTTCAAATGAACAGCCAGCAAATATATATGGCCTTGCGAATCGCAGATACCCAAACACGGAACCATGAAAATGACTGAAAATGAAAATTATGTTACCGTCGAAACAACAATCAAACGCCTTCAGCTGACTTCATTCTCGCTCAGAAATTAGCAGACCCATAAGGAGAAGTGACAGGATCATCGATTACCGGAATAAGTGACGGTTAGATAGCTGCGCAGTAGAATATATTTACGTATTCGTGTATATGTGTTGAATCATTCGTTCTACACTCAATTTCAATCTTCAATAAGTCGTCTCAACGGTGTATGAAGAAATAATTTGACAGTAACTGTGTGGTCCTTAAAGTAAAACAGTGTCAGGTTTTTGATACATAGGCACATTAAAGATTAGTCAATTGTAGATTGCAAAAGTGATATCCACTTGTAGTTTCATTGAAATCCAGTAAAACGACAAAACAGGTTTTGCTCTATGTGAGTAAACGTTGAATAAATCTTCAGAGATTTATGATTTACCGAGGAGAGTTTGTCATTGATTCGACTCACTGGTTAAGCTATGGGACTCTGTGATGTTTACATATATAAGTTCATTGTTCTTATATTGCTCACCTATCTTTTCAAAAATGAATATAGTAGACAAGATTCGAGTAGAAAATATTCAAAGTGGCTTCACACAGTGACTGCTAGAATGTGATCATTTTCCCGACTACACAGAAAGAAGCAGACATCATTCGCTGGATTATATGTGTAGTCTTCAAAGTATCACGGCGAATGATATGATGATTAGTTTAAGAAGCAAATCATTACTACATTTTTCAGTATACTAGCTGGTATACCATCTGAGCCTTTATTGCGATTGTTTCAGTTTGCTCATCGCCTTAGGAATATTTTGTACTCTGAAATCTACACTGGCGAATTGACAAGAAGGCAGTGACTTTTCTTGTGTTATTTAAGCGGGCAAATGTTCATTGAACCGCTCTGTGAATTTTTTTAGCGTCTTCATACTTTCGACTGTCCACAATAAATACACTCACTCACTTCACTTTAGCGCATTCGGGTTAATTTTGAAGCATTTTAATTGGTGCAGAACAGTCATTAACTTACTCGACAGCACTCATTTTCAGTTCAGTCGCCTTTTGAGAATGTATTTTCTCTTCGTCAACCAACGTTTTTGTCATCGTAACTAATGGGGAAAAATTTTTAGGTTATGAAGTCCGGAAAAAAGGCTTCGTAGACTTTCCTGTAAATGCTCTTGCAGAGAAGTTCCGGCTCTACAGGATACTAGGGTGTGAATTTATAGAAAATATTATTAGTGTTGTGATAAAATACATCTGTTAGTTCATCAAAACTTTTTACGCTAAAGAAGTTAGTCCAGACAATCCCTCTGAGGCAATTCCGGAAGTTTACCCAAACAGTCTAACTACAGTCTCCTCGACGTGTAGCGGAATTACGTGTTACAGTTTTGGCCATACTATCAAGACTGTTACCCCCAATGGAGCATGGGCCACCCACCAGTTTCCCCCAACCAAATCTGTCCGGGGCTTTGTTGTTAACTCTTCTTATGTCTTTCTTAATTTCTCGGCGTAATGTGTTCCTCTCTTCCTTTCGCCCTGAGTGTTCCATGTGAGGGCTTGTCTTGTGACGCAGCTAAGTGCTTTTCGTAGTGTGTGTCCTATCCACTTCAAACGCTTCTTGCTAATTTCCTCCTCCACTGGAATCTGGCTTGTTCTCTCCCACAGTACGCTGTTGCTGATGGTGTCTGGCCAACGAATCCGGAGTATTTTGCGTAGACAACTGTTAATAAACACTTGTATCTTCTGGATGATGGCTTCGGTAGTTCTCCAAGTTTCCGATCCATCCAGTAGAACTGTCTTCACATTTGTATTGAAAATCCTGATTTTGGTTTTCTTTGAAAGTTGTTTGGAGTTCCAGATATTTTTCAATTGTAGAAATGCAGCCCTTGCTCTGCCAATCCGCACCCTCACATTTGCATCGGATCCTCCTTGATTGTCTCTGATGCTGCCCAGATATGTAAAGGTGTTGACGTCCTCCAAGGCATCTCCATCGAGAGTGATTTGATTGGTGCATGTTGTGTTGCATCGGAAAATTTCGCTTTTCCCTTTATGTTTGTTGAGACCTACTGCTGCAGAGGCTGCTGATACACTGGTCGCCTTCTCATGTATCTGTTGTTGCATATGCGACAGAAGAGCTAGGTCATCTGCGAAGTCCAGATCGTCTAGCTGCGTCCAAGCTATTCACTGAATACCGTGCTCCCTTCCAGATGCTTACGTCTTCATAACCAAGTCGATCAATAGGAGAAAAACAATTTCAGTGTAAGCAATCTTCAACTGAAATCGATGTTCATCTCAAATGAATCTGTCAGCTGTCCTCCGTGCACGTTTTCGCAGTATAATCAATCATAACAATTCCGTATGATGTTGACTATTTTGTCAGGCACGCCGTGGTATCGAAGAAGACCCCAGTGTAGTCCTGTCCACGATATTGTATGCTTTCTCGTAGTCGATGAAGTTGATGTAGAGTGATGAGTTACATTTTACTGATTGTTCCACAATGATCCGTTATGTTGCGATTCTGTCGGTACACTATCGACCCTTACGAAATCCAGCCTGTTAGTCTCGAAGTTGGGCGTCTACGAAGTCCTTCATTCTGTTTAACAATACTCTGTTGAAAACCTTGTCTGCTATTGAGAGAAGAGTGATGCCTCTGTAGTTCTCACACATGCTCAGATCGCCGTTCTTTAGCATTTTGATGAGCTATCCTTCTTTCCAATCTCATGGTGCATGTTCTTCATCCTCAATCTTGATGAAGAGAATGCGAAGTATTTTTGCAGTTGCTTCCACGTCTGCTTTCATTGCCTCTGCTGGAATGTTGTCTGGTCCTGCTGCTTTGCCGCTCTTGACTTGACTGATAGCCATACTGATCTCTTTAATTGTAAGTGCAGCAAAATCGATTGTGAGGTCCGTAGATTCTGCCTCGATTTTGGGTGGGTTCAGTCTAGCTGTTTGATTCAGGAGTTCCTGAAAGTGTTCTACCCACCTGTTTCACTGTTCTTCAGTGTTGCTGATTACTTTGCCTTCCTTGCTTTTCACTGGTCGTTCTGGTTTACGATATTTTTCAGCGAGCTTCTAGTTGTTTCGTACAGTTGTTTCATGTTTCCGTCTGTTGCAGCCTTTTCCGCCATCAATGCTCGATCTTCCACATTTTTCCGTTTGTCGGCTCTGATGCTCTTCTTCACTCCCCTGTTCGCTTCTGTTTATGTAGATTGTGCCTTAACTTTTTCCGCTTCTGGTCGGCCTATATTGACTGCTGCCCTAGTGTCCCTCCTTACTTCAATTTTTTCAAGAGTACCAACAGAGATCCATTACTTGTGATGGTACTTCTTGTGACCCAGAAATTCGTGACATGTTGAAGTGGTTGCCTGCTTGATCCCTTTTTACAGTTGTTCTTTAAGTGGTCTTAAATGAGTTGCAGACTGAAAAGACGTGAGCATGAGGTTTCCAACACGGGGCGTGAAAATTACGTCAACATTAGCGATTTCGGATCTTTAGTGGAATCATCTATCAGGCTAAATTATTTCTATGTTAGACGACAGATCACTGATCTTTTTTCAGTCTGTCGAACATTCGTGGTGTCTAGGATGGCTAACAAGGACTGATAGATCGCATACTACACACCAGCTGGATTTTGAAATATGTTCTTGGATATTTCTGTTAGATTTAGTAGTACTCTGTTTGTAGGAAGGCGAGCTACATTATTAAAACAAAAATATTCTATGCAGAACAGAAAATTGAATGTCTCGTATTCATTTGACCAATAGTGTTGATGCTGTTGATCGAAATGGGATACCGATTCTGATATTCATTTTCTACGTCCTTGTAGAGCAGAAGAACTGTCGCCAACATATACAATTATGTAAACTGAAAGTAGACCATTCAAAAACAATGAAGGTGCGATCATTCTTTCTCCATCATCAAGTTCCTCAGAATGTACCATCTGTAGAGTAAATCCAGTATTGCCCAGTTTTAGCCACAACGTCCAACAAACACACTTTACTCACTTAGTTCTCACAGCCAGGCGTATGCAGTGTAGAATTTATTTCGCAGGCGGCTGTCCTAATCGCGTCCAATAGAAACACACCGGTACGATTCTCCTAGATACCCGTCCCAGCCAAATCAGAAAGCCGAAAATTCTAGGAGAAAACCGTCTCTATTGTTATAAAAAATGGAAATACAGAGACTTACGATGTTTATGTTTCTTCCAGGACTAAATTACTCCGTAGAGTATCTATTACAATAGCTAGTAAGTGACACTAAGTTCAGCAGCCACTGCGTCTATCCAAAAATGTGGCGGTAGCCATATTATATCAAATTTAAACAATATATGTACAATTCAGAATTCTAACAGCCACATATACATACTTTATTGAAAGTAAAATAAGGAGCAAGTAGGGAGTTTTCGGTATAAGATAATACACAGAATTCGTTCATTATTGAACACATTAAAAGGAAATGTTATACTCATATAAAATAGACCAAGTAACAATTAAGAATTCACATCTACTGGCTGAAAATCGTGACCAAATATAAGCTAAAGTAGCAATATTCTAGTCTCATGTGCCTTATAAACTCACCGCACTGTAGATGAGCATAACTGTGTCGATGAATAATCTTATCCACGACTATTGTTCAAAATTCTCGTAATCTAGTAGCATTTCCCATCTTATTTTCCATATTTAAATTCAAATGTAAACTCAATAAGTGAACGTTAGCTCCTCTTAAACTACCATGTATTCATAAATAGTGCAATTTCGTTGTCATCACAGTTTACGACAACTGAAAAAATAATGAAAACTCACATGAACTTTTGTGTACTTCTGTTGTTGTTAACAATGGAAACGATCAATCCGATTCAGTGTTATATTATTGTTTATTTTAGTTTTCGGTACTCTTCGGTTCTCTTTAATTGGATAGCGGGACATGGCTAACCTTCAGTGTAAGAATTCTCTAGGTCAACCGCGTGATTCGAAACTTTTTCCGAGTATGGCCTCAGAAGCATTGGTGGGGCTTGACCTGGTTTTCACAAATGACGTATCGTCACAGTTTTCTACAGTTTTATCTTATGGGTAAAGTTAAAAGGTTTCATGTTTCAACTTTAGCTTTTCGTTTCTTTGCATAGATTTGTTTCATCCGAAGTTAATTACTGAAAAACTCTCGGTTAGTTCTTCTGATGCTGTTCCACGTTCTGACCTTGCATATGATAAAAATGGTATGCAGTCATTTTAGTTTTCTCAGGATTTAGGTAAGAGTATCACAAAGTCGTTGGTTGGTAAGGTATCGACAACCATTGATGTCGATGCTGATATTTTATCTATCCGTCAATCTGGTGCTCAACTCTTAATGAAGGAACTTAGCTGGGCTGCACATCTTGGCTTACCCGCCATAAGCATCAGAGTTAATCGTCCAACCAATCCTAATCTGGCTAGGTTATTAATAAATTTTATACGTGGAGAATATATCCCGATCAAGGTATCCACATTGATTTCGTTAATATTTTAAAAGATATGGCTAGTATTTCCAATGATAATTGACTTCAACAGCTTTGATAAAAGTGAGTGATATTTTATATCATTCATATCAATTCTATGTTATTTTTTTGTCTGCGCCCGTGGCTATAGTCAGAATTCAAAGCTGAACAATGATATAGTATTACGGTGAATGATTTTACACTTAATAGGAGAACTTCTGAAATCACGTGTTATGTATTCTGTAAATGTAATCAAACGCTTATAGTCAGCGTTTAAGAAGCCGATCGCACTATCAGATGGCAATCAATCCTCACTAGGGTAAACTCACTTGATTGTCCTAGCCAAAACATATGAAGCAATCACTTATACGACTCAGACTATTCCCCTCTGAAGATTCGTCACGAGAAATGTGAAAAACTTTTGGTTCTTCATTGGAAAGTTCTAGAAATTATCTAGGATTTCAAAACTGGCTTTTTACTTCATAGTTCAGCATGTCTGCTCTTAGACTAGCTAGTGATTTTCAGACGGAAAGATCTTATTCGAAAAAACAAATTACTTGAAATGAAGAATTGTCTTTAAGTGGTACATTGTTGCGCTAGACCTCATCACGAACGTATTACATACAAAATAACCTAATAGTCTTTATTATTCTGGTTGATGCAACTTCAAGCTTTTGAAATGTACTTGTTCTCTGTATACTTGGTGATTGTGGTATACTTCTTAATATGGTTTATTCCAGAAGATATGAATGAAAACAAAGAATCAACACTGGATGAAGTATCAGTCTACTCACCTTGGCATTGGTGGCTAAATTTGTCGACCATGGCGGCTGATATCTCAGATGCTCTTGGTATTGTTCTTGAGATACCGAATGACCTACCTGATGAGTCAGTGATTGCAAGATGGTTTAGTGAGCCTGTAGTTTGCTTGTTGATTCATACACAGTTATTTTTGACAAATGCAAAGGGATACCCTGTACTGCCAAAAAGTCATCAATATATAATCAGTCGGTTCTTCAAGGTACTTATGAGTCTTCATGTTTCGTTTAATGACTATAACATGGTTTTGTTAACTATTAGTAATTAATTAGCTTTTGCATATGCTACTGTAATGTACGAAGGAATCAAGACTAGATGAGATATATTTGTAGGAGGCAATTTATTTACAAACTACAAATCACTTATAGCGCAGACGAGGTATCCGTTTGCTATCTAAAGGACGAGAATACTGCGCAGTAGTTCGCTCAGTCCTACAATATGGATGCGAAACATGGTCAGTAAGAGTAGAAGATATTCGTACGTTGCTGATTTTCGAACATAGGTGTTTCAGAAGCATTACTCGTGTATCGTGGGCCAATCCTGTGGTTAGGAAACGTATCATATGTAAGGATGGCAGATCAATAGATGGAGTATTTAAACTTCATCAGTTGAGGTAGTTGGGACATGTGTTACGTATGCCCAACCACCGACTGCCTCGTCGAGCTATGCTTTGCCATGTAGGAATAGGTTAAAAAAAGCTAGGGGCGGCCAAACGAAAACATGGCAGAAATCTATGAAGTCATTGACGAGTGGGCTTAGCCATGTCGGTAATTGTCGACTACCTGGTTGGGGTCCGCGAGACAATCGTAACCGATGGTTAGAGACCCTGAACGACATGTCTCAAAACCGTTTTCAATGGCGCAGGTGCATTCATTCTTTGTGTTCTCTAAAATCCATACCTTTCTTTTTAAGTCCAATTCACTAGATTTTACTTCTTGAATAACATCTTCAAACCCTAATACCTCCGATTACTGCTAATACTTCTACTACCCCTACTACTATGGGATTCGAACATGATGTACGTAAATATGAAGTTCTATGTTGTTGTTGACTGAATGACTGAAATAGCTTTCAGACATCCATTTGCAGTACAAGCAGATTTTTAATTATCTTCTCTCACATCTCGTCTGGTCTGCAACACATTCTGAATGCGCCATGCATTTTGATCTCTAGGCGCTCTCCTATGGTAGCAATTTCTACTAACTATGTCACTTTATGATTTTAATTTACTACACTAGTATTGTGTTACCGATGTTTGAAAATAAGTTTGTTTCATTCACTACACAAACTCAATTTCTCTTTGACTATTGCTCCTTATTGAAACACTCAAGTCTACTAGCTAATTAACCAAATTCTTAAAAACAACTGTGGGTGTTGAAATGATGAATTTTAAAAATCCTGCTGATATGGTAGAATTTCAACAAGCTGAGTACCGACTAGTGATTCTCTAATTAAAACTTTTGAAGTTAATCGACATACTACGAACATCTAAGTTAGACTCCGACTGAATCTTCAGTCGATCTTTCTAGTCCAGTCGTTGATTGCGAAATATTTAAGTTGATATAATCTGCAATGCACAATTAAACTAAAAAGGCAGATGACTTGGGAATACCAAATGCAGATCAATTGTAAACCGCGCAACTAAAAAATCTGAATAAAATATAGACTAATTCCAATGATAACCCTATTTTTCTCAGCTGAGAAACGGAAGAAATTGAAGATCTGGATAACTTAAGTAAGCATGAGATTCTTATCCTTAAAGTCATCTCTTTCTATTACTATCACCGTAAAAGTAAGTAAATATTCTTTCGATCTGCATTTCCAGTTTTCGTGCTTCAGAATAATACCAGTTGGAACAATTCTTCAGTTTCAAAAGGTGGTACATAAACACGAATTAACCTTTTTTCACTATCAGTACCTTAGTTTTAGTGTATTTGAACATCTTGAAAAGAACTGTTGAGTCATCGTATCTTTAACCACCTAATCTGTTTGATGTAGCCGACCACTCAGTCGATCGATTGAATGTTAGCTTTTTACCTAGACCTCAAATTTGTCATAAACTGCCAGGATTCTGTTTGTGTTAGACTAGTTTTCAACTTGAATTGTGGAATATTTATTGGGTTAAAACTAACACTTTCATGTATTACCCTTAAATCACCTCATGATCGTTATTATAATACGGTGTTCCAATTAGTTTAGTTTCTGAAATCACCACTGTGGATGCGTCCTAAAGTTTAGTTTAGTTAAAGTTAAATATTACAAAATTCCATTAAAACTCATACGCAACGGACTCATCCTTTGGTTAGCAGGCGGATATCTCTCCTACGTCATAAGTGAAGAAAGTTGGAAAGAGCCAGTCGCATCATTCGTATCCGTGCTGAGATTCCATCACACACCAGGCCATCACACCTCTGATGAGACTCCCAAGATAAGTGAAGTGGTCAACATGCTCAACTACTTCACTCACTATCACTAGTTCAGGTGCAAATGCAACCCAATCTTGCAGCAAAGGTTTGCATTCGAGCGGGAAAACCTCATTCTTAACATGCTTGCGTTGTTGCTTATGATGGTCAGAAGACTCTGCATTTTGTCAGCATCTTCACGGAATAGGACTACGTTATCAGCATTCTCTAAGTCGTCAAGCGTGTCTCCTGGTGAAAGGTCCAATCCTGAAAAGTCAGACGATGATAATGTTAATTCTAATAACATATCTACGACAAAGTTAAACAAGAATGGAGAGAGTGTACAGTCCTGGCAAACACTACTCCAGGTAATCGATTTCGATGACAGTTTGCTATAGGCTCTTACTCGACCAGTAATGTTTGAGTTGAGAGCCTGTATATTGTGAATGTTGTTCTTTGGTACAGGTTTCAATGGTAAACACTACTATTGTTTCTCGATAAACAAGCTTCAAAAACTAATATGAATTTGCTAATCATTGTTATCAAATTTTCACTAGGTTCTTCCGAAGTTGACTGTACGTGAAAAAACTAAATTTAATCGCTCATTGTATCAGTTAGTTGTTAAGTACACATCTGTTATCTTTTTGCGTTCTGCACTGATTCAATCTGTTTCTCAATTATTAATGTAACGATAAAGTTTACGAATTTCACTTTATAGTTGAATGTACAAATTGTACTGACCGGTGCTTGTCGAAACGATAAAGGTTATTCAGCCTATCAACAATATATTGCATGGCTTTGGAAATCTCAAGATGCTCCTGATTTGTATGAAGAACAATCAAAGGGATTAGAAGATCAATTACAGGTTAGTGTTATTATACAAAAATAAATTTATTAATCTATTTAGAGTTTCCCCTTCATTATTAGGCGTGGATAATTTTTTTAAAGAGAATTAAAAGAACTATTTGATATATTTTAATGAATATATCACAAAGGTTGGTAGTAGATGTTATTATTTATTTGGAAGTTTAGTCTATAAAATGTACGCGTAAACTGTTGTTACTTGTTCTGTACAATTATGATGTTAAACTAGAAATTAGTTAAAATTATTTGAATATTTTGTCGACATTTTTAATACTGAAACCGTTTATTACTTATTTAAGACCTAGATAAAATATTCAACTAAATAACCATTTTTTAAAGTGTATTCAATATTACACAATAACCATAATTATTATTGAAAAGACAGCTACTTCAAATCGTGATAGTAAAATTTTTCAAATATTTAATTTAATAGTTAGAAGTTGTATGCTTAGATTATTGAGTCTCAGGTTGGTGGCTGAATCAAACTTATCAACTTACGCTTGTTAGCATAGGTCACTGACCAGTTTTCTCCAACGTACTATGTCCCGGCCCTTTTTTTCTTGTTCTATCCAACTCTTCATTCTTCTCATGTCTGTTTCGGTTTCTCGGCGTAATGTGTATTTGGGTCTTCCTCTTTTCCCTTGGGATCAGTTCAACTGGCCTTCAGTCACACTTCGGTTGCACACGATATCCAGTCATCCTGAATGGCAAATCGATGTAAGTGTTCCGAATCTTTATGAAGTTGGACAAGCTATAGGAAACCTAGAGAGAGGGCGAGCAGCAAGGCCTGATAGGCTAACTCCTGAAAATTTTAAGGAAGGTGTTCTAGCTCTAACAGTTAGATCGACTGATATCTTTGGTAGAATTTAGACACTGGGCATAATCCCATCTGACGTCTCAATTGCTGATTGTCCCAATTTATAAGAAAGGACGAAAGTCCACTAGTGACAATTACAGAGGAGTCGGTCTAACTAATGTAGTATCTAAAATATTCGCCTCAATAATACTCCAACGCTTGACGAAAGCTTGTGAAGAGCAGACTCGAGAAAACCAGGTTGGTTTCACACCTGGACGTGGCTGTATAGACCACATTTTCACACTGCGTCAGTTATTAGAACAAATACACATGTTCAGACGTCACACAATTATAGATTTTTCACCTTAAAGCAGCATTCCACTCTGCAAATGGTGAGGTTTCTTGGCATCCTGTCATTAAAAGGTGTACCAGAGAAGTACAGTAAACTCACACAAACTCTGCTGGAACACTACTGGTCGAGTAAGAGCCTATAGCAAACTGTCATCGAAATCGATTACCTGGAGTAGTGTTTGCCAGGACTGTACACTCTCTCCATTCTTGTTTAACTTTGTCGTAGATATGTTATTAGAATTAACATTATCATCGTCTGACTTTTCAGGATTGGACCTTTCACCAGGAGACACGCTTGACGACTTAGAGAATGCTGATAACGTAGTCCTATTCCGTGAAGATGCTGACAAAATGCAGAGTCTTCTGACCATCATAAGCAACAACGCAAGCATGTTAAGAATGAGGTTTTCCCGCTCGAATGCAAACCTTTGCTGCAAGATTGGGTTGCATTTGCACCTGAACTAGTGATAGTGAGTGAAGTAGTTGAGCATGTTGACCACTTCACTTATCTTGGGAGTCTCATCAGAGGTGTGATGGCCTGGTGTGTGATGGAATCTCAGCACGGATACGAATGATGCGACTGGCTCTTTCCAACTTTCTTCACTTATGACGTAGGAGAGATATCCGCCTGCTAACCAAAGGATGAGTCCGTTGAGCAGCAGTTCGCTCTGTCTCGCCGTATGGATGCGAAACATGGCCTGTAGGATTAGAGGACATTCGTAGGCTATCAGTATTCGATTATAGATGTCTTTAAAGCATATCTTGTGTATCCTGGAACAGCTGAGTAAGCAATGCTGTGGTTAGGAAACAGGCAGATCAATAGATGGAGTATTGAAACTTCATCAGTTGAGGTGGTTGGCACATGTGTTACGTATGCCCAACCACCGCTCAGTCAGTCAGTTGTAACGTAGAACTTCGTACGTATGAACATAAGTTCATGTTGCCATACCACATTAGCACAGAGACGCAAATGTCAAATCAAATCCCATAGTGATAAAGATAGTAGAAGTATTAATGGTAATGAAGGAGACTAGGTTTTGAAGATATTATTCAAGAAGTATAAATCAGTGAGATAAGTTTAGAAAGACAAAGGTAGAGGTGTTGACGAATCCAGAAGATTAGGATTCAAGGGAACACAAAGAGTGGATGCACTTGTGCCATTGCAAACGGTTTGGAGCCCTGTCATTCAAGGTCTCTAACCATTGGTGAATTTCTTCTCGCCGAACCCAAACATGTAGCCTACATCTACCAAAATGACTCAGTCAACTTGTCAGTCACTTCATGGATTTCTGCCATGTTTTCGTTTGGCCGCCCCTAGCTTTCTCCCAACCTACTCCTACTCCGCAAAATATAGCTCGTCGATGCAGTCGGTGGTTAGGCATTCGTAACACATGTCCCAACCACGTCAACTGATGAAGTTTCAATACTTCATCTATTGACCTGCCATCCTTAACGATGACCCGTTTCCTAACGACAGCATTGCTTACTCGGTTGTCCCACGGTATACGCGCAATGCTTCTTAAACATCTATGATTGAATACTAGTAACCTAAGAACATCTTCTACTCTTAACTGTCAGGTTTCGCATCTATATAGATCTGAGCGAACTGCTGCGCAGTACACCTGTCCTTTGGTTAGCGAACGGATATCTCGCGTACGCCATAAATAACGCAGGTTGGCAAAAGCCACTCGAGGTTTCTTTATCCTAGCTGAGATTTCGTCAGTCACCAGGCTATCAGCGCTGATGAGACTCCCCAGATAAGTGAAGCGGTCAAAACACTCGACTACTTCACTCCCTATCACTAGTTCAGGTGCCGATGAAACCCAATCTTGAAGCATCATTTTGCATTTCGAGGGTGATAACCGCATCCCGAACATGCTTGCATGGTTGCTTATGGTAGTCTGAAGACTCTACACTTTGTCAGCGTCTTCGGCAAGTAGGACTATGTCATCGGCATATTCTAAGTCGATAGGCGATTTTCCTGGTAGGAACGCGACTCCTGAAAAATCGTACGAAGATACTGTTATATATATGTCTATGACAAAATTAAACAAAAATGGGGAAAGTGGACATCCCTGACGGACACCACTTGATGTAGAGAATTCCAGTGACAGTTCTCCATAAGCTCTCACTCGACCAGTAGTGTTCGAGTAGAGTGCTGGTATAAGGTTAATGTACTTCTTTGGTACACCTTTCAATGACAGACACTGCCACAGAACTTCACGATCCACTGAGTCATATGCCGCTTTTAGGTCCAGAAACACCACTATTGTCGGATGTCTAAATGTGTGTCTGTGTTCCAGGACCTGTCGTGGTGTGAAGAGGTGGTCTATAAAAGCACGTCCAGGTCGAAAACGGGACTGGTTTTCTCGAGTCTGCTGTTCACGAGCTCTAGTTAGACGTCTAAGTATAATTGAGGCTAACAATTTATAAACTATATTAGTTAGACTTATTCCCCTGTGATTGTCATAAGAGGACTTTTGTCCTTTCTTGTAGATTGGAATAATCAGTGATTGAGACCAGTCGGATGGGATTATGTCCAGTTCCCAGATTCTACCTAGGATCTCGGTCAGTCTAACTGTTAAAACTGGACCACCTTCCTTGAGCATCTCAGGGGTTTGCCTATCAGGACCTGCTGTTCTACCTCCCTTTAGATTTCCTATAGCTTTCTCAACTTCATGTAGACGAAGAGGACTTGCCATTCAGGATGACTGGGAATAGTGGGCAACTGAAGTGTGGCTGAAGACCAGTTGAACTGGTCCCTAAAGTGTTCTGCCCATCGGTCCAATCTCCGGGATTGAGAATGGATAATAAGACCATCCTTTTCCGAGATAGTCTCACTCACATTCAGGTTCCTAATACCGGTTTCTTTGATAAGGCGGAAAAGTTGTCTAGTGCTGCCTATCGCCGCTGCCTTTTCCATCGCTTTTGCTTTCGCCACCCACCACTGTTCGCGATCGTTACGTAGGCTTTTTATCAGTCTGCGCCTAAGCTGACTACGCTCTTCATCATGTTTAGAGTCAGGTGGTATTCGTTTTCGAGCATCCAAGTTGACTGAGTCATGTTGGTAGTAGTAGGCTACTTGTTAGGCTTCCGCGAGACCAATGTCACCGATAGCTAGAGACCTTGAACTACGTGTTTTAAAATCTTTCTCGATGGCGCAGGTGCATTCTTTTTTTGTGTTCTGAATTCCTCATCATCTCTGTCTTTCCCTTTATAAAGTTATCTCACTTAACATTACTTCTTGAATGATATCTTCGAACCCCAATTCTTCTCTAATACTGCTTATATTTCTACTGTCGTTATCACTATGAAATTTGCACTAACTGTTGCGTCTCTGTGCTAATGCAGTATGGCAATCTCAACTTATGGACTTATGTACGAAATTCTACGTTGTAACTGATTGACTGACTGCAGCCTCTCTTATAAACGATCATAAGTGTTTAAATTGTTATGAATGGTAGGCGCATAGCACTGAATGATGTTCATTTTAATCTCCGGTTTCTTTGTTTTAAAAAATTTTTTGTTGATTCTGTTTCCATGAGATTTCCGTCCTCACAGTGCCTTTTGTGCTTCTTTACATAGCATCAATTCAACCCCTTGTGCATGTGAGCCATTTTCTTCTCCATGACCAAAGTATAAAAGCATCTCTTCTGAAACTAGTCTTAGTCGTCTAACCTGCCTGCGATGTGTTTCACTGATTCCAAATACCATCAGGTTGTATCTTTTCCTTCCGCAGCAACTGGGATGACTCTCGCGGTCTCCCACATTGTCCGAACTTTACATGTAAATTAATGGTTGCTCGCTTTATGAGGACCATCGGCCTAGTGGCTTCCGAAGGGACTCGGCTTTCATTCTGAGACGTCCTAACTGTTCTAAGGAAGACTTTCCAATTCTCAGGACAGATTTTCAATGATTTGGATTATTTTTCCTGGTTAACGTTTTTTAGCGAGTTAGTTTCCTACGGGATAAGTATCACTAACCCAACCACCTTACACCTTTCATTCCATAGATTCATTCATTCTCCAATTGTTTCATCAATACTCAAACTTAGTTGTTTCCTTATCGTCCCCAAAAGTCCTGGTACTGCCGGAAGTAGGTGGAGTTCGCTCTCTCTCTCCCAAAATGCTCTCATATAGTAATGGTCATGGTAGTCGTGTTCACTGTCTTCTTGGGTAGTTATGCAGCCCACTCGTAAATCCGGTAATTTATATGGCCCGTTATTATTTAAGTGCCAGTTTTTTTTACCAATGTTTACGTGTTCAAATCAAAATATTTAAAATATTATACGATCACTGATTCTGTCAATAATTCTATTCTGGGATATGTCCTTCTAATCTCAAATGGTTGTATTGATATGGTATCACACTTTGAACCGATTCAAATGTGTTAGGTTCTACATTTAGTATGGTACATTACCAGTGCATTTAAATACCCTTTCTCATTGGTAATCGTTATATTTTTTCTCTGTGGTCGTTAGTTCTTAGTTGTTCTGTTTCCCTTATCACTCAGTCTACATATATCAAATTGTATCGAACTAGTCCAAACTTTAGTGATGCCATATTATATGTTTATATTTGTTATTGGTGTTAGGAGCCTTTGCAACCTCTTCGCGATAATTTATCCTCTACAACATATTCTATATTCGAAATGGATCCGTTTAAATATCAAGCGTATGAAACTGTAAGTCATTAAATTAGTTTTATATTGAGTATTTGCGTATTCTTTATTTATTCCACATCTATTTCATACCATTTCTGACATCGAACTTGCGTGTGAAGCGGTAGCTTAGTGGTCTTGGCTTTCGCCTCTGCGCTACATCTCCGACATCCAACCTATTTTGAACTAACTAATCTGACAACATCTACCAACCCCGCATTTAAACTATGGCTTACATCCAGCTACCTTACTCACCCACTCACTCACTTACCTACCGACTTACCCAACTGAATTACTTACTTACTTAATGCCGATTATCTTTTCGCAGCTACATTTAATCTTGTACTTTATAACTTCATAACATGCTGAAGCAGTTTTATCCTAAACCCCTTCCAGTCGTTTTCCTTGTAAGTTTCCTTTACACTGAATGAATCCTGAAAGACTTGTCAATTGCTACTAAGATTCATCTTGAATACCTTGAGTTTGCCAGGACCGTGAAGGTCTGTGAGATTTACATCCTCTCAGTGCTTTTTGTCCTTCGAGTAAGAAATGCTGTCGTTAGGAAACGGGTCATCGTTAAGGATGGCAGGTCAATAGATGAAGTATTGAAACTTCATCAGTTGACGTGGTTGGGACATGTGTTACGAATGCCTAACCACCGACTGCATCGACGAGCTATATTTTGCGGAGTAGGAGTAGGTTGGGAGAAAGCTAGGGGCGGCCAAACGAAAACATGGCAGAAATCCATGAAGTGACTGACAAGTTGACTGAGTCATTTTGGTAGATGTAGGCTACATGTTTGGGTTCGGCGAGAAGAAATTCACCAATGGTTAGAGACCTTGAATGACAGGGCTCCAAACCGTTTGCAATGGCACAAGTGCATCCACTCTTTGTGTTCCCTTGAATCCTAATCTTCTGGATTCGTCAACACCTCTACCTTTGTCTTTCTAAACTTATCTCACTGATTTATACTTCTTGAATAATATCTTCAAAACCTAGTCTCCTTCATTACCATTAATACTTCTACTATCTTTATCACTATGGGATTTGATTTGACATTTGCGTCTCTGTGCTAATGTGGTATGGCAACATGAACTTATGTTCATACGTACGAAGTTCTACGTTACAACTGACTGACTGACTGACTCATACCCATAAAAGACCAGATTGGTCACAATTAAATCCTTTCTACACCTAATATTTCTCTTATCTCCTCGACCAACCCTTCTTTCGATCGTCTATCACCTCACGCCACTGAAGCAAACGGTATGAGCTCACGAAATATTATTCCTGGTCTCTCGATTCATCGTATTAAATTACGTATACGAGCTTTTAATGTTCGGACTCTATGCCGATTGGGGCAACAGGCTTCATTAGCTAGAACTCTGGAATCCCGGGCGATCAATCTAACGTAGTGCAGAAAGAGACACAACAAGATTTACGCTTCGTGTTTCCGGAAGCGCTGGTGCCGCTTCTCGTGGCATCTCCGGAGTAGGTATGGTATTAAGTCCTAGGACAGAACTATCTCTCTTAGACTGGATCCCGATAGACAGTCGCTTATGCGCTGTCCAACTAAACGGGACGGTACGGACTCGGAAGGATATGGACACTCGTCGTTGCCTGTTCGTCGTATCTGCCTACGCTCCCACTGACTACCGTTCAGACGACATGAAAGATAAGTTTTATAGAAACCTCCCTAAACTCCTTCACAAGTTAAGACCTCTGATATAGTTATAACGGCGGGTGACTTAATGCTCAAGTAGGTAGACTCAACGTAAATGGCGACCGTGTGCTGCAGCTATGCTCACATAACCGCCTATTTCTAGCAAATACTAACTTTAAGTATAAGGTACAACACCTTTTGATCTGGCGTCCGCCGAATCCGACCCAACGATAGACCCAACTGGATCACACCACTAAAAGCCATAGGTGGATAGGTTGTGTTGAAGACTGCCGAACATTCTGGAAACGCATATATATCCTCCGAATCTTTATGAATTTGAGAAAGCGTTAGGAAATTTAAAGCGAGGGAGATCTGCGGGTCCTGATAGATTGATCCCTGAGATTTTTAAGGATGGAAGTCCAATTTTAGCAGCCAGATTGACTGAAATCTTAGGTAGAATCTGGGAACTGGACACAATCCAATTCGACTGATATCAAACCCTGGTAGTCGCAATTTATAAGAAAAGACAAAAGTCCTCTTGTGACAATCACAGGGGAATAAGTCTAACTAATATAGTTTCTACATTGTTAGCCTCGATTATACATAGACGTTGAACGACATGGCTCAAAATCGTTTGTAGTGGTGCAAGTGCATCCACTCTTTGTGTTCTCTCTAATTCTAACCTTCTGAATTCCTTATAATCTGTATCTTTCTCCTTCTAAATTTATCTTACTGAATTATACTTCTCGAATCATATCTTCGCTCCCTAATCTTCTCCATTACTGCTAAAACTTATAGTATCGCTGTCACTATGGGATTTGAACTGACATTTGCGTCTCTGTGCTATTGTGGTATGGCAACCCGAACTTATGTACTTACGTACAAAGTTCTGCATTGTATCTGCCTGTCTGTTTGTGGACGTCATCTTAAGCTTCGTCTGCGTCATCAATTAACAGTTAAACTCCCTTATAGCAATACATACGGACAACGAAGGAGATACATTCGATTGGAACGATGTTGATATCCTGGATAGAGCAAGTTTAAAGAACACAAGCGAAGTTTTAGTAGTTTGGTACCAAAGTCAATCACCATTCAACAAACATCGTCATTTACCCAATTTATCAAGAAGTCAGAAAGTTAGTGAAAAACGTAGGATTCGGAAACTTATCACAGGTGGATACGATTAAAATTACGAATCAGACGATGACAGGCGAAAAGTCAATCAATAAGTCAGTCACTTACAACGTAGAACTTCGTACATTCGTACATTAGTTCAAATTGCCAAAACCCTCTCACGGTGTGTTCATCTGGGAAGTAACATCTGCCTTAATACCCGTAATAACACACATAAAAGGTTTAAGGTCAATAACAATCAATCAAGATTGAAATTAACAAAATAAGCTACGAATCATACATGGAGATATTCGAATACTTCACTTTTATCTGAAGTTTGTGTGAATGATGTTGTTCAGAAGAACAGTGAAAACTTCACAACCAAAATATCCAACTCAGATAACTTATCTCTATTACTATAAATAAATTTATATAATCAGAAGTCGAGTGAAAATATACAAGCATCATTTCAATTTAAGTTTAAAAGGTTTTCTATAGTGTTGCATTTTTTCCTAACGAAGTCTTTCATTTGATTATCGGTAGAGTGAAATTTTAACATTAGCTTTTTAAAACTCTCTATCAATGATAATTTATTTGTTATAATTTAGGCAATTTACAAAGCTCTCTGCGATCGTTCATGTAAACGTAATAAGTCAAGTACAGATATAGAAAAAAATCTTGTCAGCCATTCAAAATCATCACAGACTAAAGAGTATATAAATGGATCAATTGATTATAATTCAAATGCTTACCAAGTAGTTATGGTATTGGGTGCAGGTCGTGGTCCGCTCGTCAATGCCACTATAAATGCTGCCGAAAAAGCTCAATGTAAAGTTCGTATATATGCTATTGAAAAAAATCCGAATGCATTGTATACATTACGTGTAAGTTTTCCAGTATTATTTTTTCATTTACTAACAATATTAAGTATATAGAGATAAATTTCTGGTCGAAAATCATTTATCATAGTCCAACTCAACGTTTCGATTCTATCTTTTTATGAAACTTTGAATTAAGTAACATGAACATTAAAAATCTTTCAATAGTTGACTTGACCAGTGAACATTTAATTTAATAACACTTTTTACATAGTAATCGTATGTCAGTCAGTCAGTCAGTCTGTCAGTCAGTTACAACATAGAACTTCGTACGTAAGTACGTCAGATCAGGTTGCGATACCAAATTACCAGAGATATAATTGTCAATTCAAATCCCATAGTGGTGGAGATAGTAAAAGAATTACTGCTAATGGAGAGGATTAGGATTTGAAGATAATATTCGAGAAGTGTAATTCAGTGAGATAAATTTAGAAGGAGAAAGATAGAGTTGTTGACGAATCCAGAAGATTAGGATTCAAGGGAACACAAAGAGTGGATGCACTTGCTCCATCGCAAACGATTTTGAGCCATGTCGTTCAAGGTGACTTTCTTCTCGTGGACCCCAACCAGGTAGCCTACATCTACAAATATGAATCAGTCCACTTGTCAGTGACTTCATGAATTTGTGCCATGTTTTGGTTCAGTCGCCCCTAGCTTTCTTCCAACCTACTCCTACACCACAAAACAGCTCGTCGCTGCAGTCGTTGGTTAGGCATTCGTAACACATGTCCCAACCACGTCAACTGATGAAGTTTCAATACTTCATCTATTGACCTGCCATCCTTAACGATGACCCGTTTCCTAACGACAGCATTTCTTTCTCGGTTGTCCCGCGATACATGAGTAATCGTTATGTGGTCCAGTTGGGTCCATCATTGGGTCGGATTCGGCTGTCGCCAGGTCAAAATGTGTTGTACCTTAAGCATAACGTTTGTGTTTGCTAGAAATAGGCGGTTGTGTGAGCATAGCTGCAGCACACGGTCGCCATTATCCGTTCTATAGCCGTGACACCATAAGATCCATCAAGGTGCCTTTCCTTTTCACCTAATCTACATTAAATGCTCCAACATGAAGTTTAGTACTGGTTTTCAGGAAACTTGGAATAATGTTTCGTGAACTCTAATCTTTTGCTGCAGAGGCGCGGTGTTAGTGGGACATAGATGGATTTAAAGCATGCTTAATATTCATCAAAGCTCTTCAGTCACCGCAAGATGCTGAAATCAGAACTAGACTTTTGATTCGAATGGACCAAGACCCTAACGTCACACTCAGAACATTGACAGATGAGTGTAAACGCCTACAAAGTATCAGGCACGACAACATGTTGATTGAACAGGTAAATCCCCATTTAGCCAGCAGTAGTGTCAATGCTATTACTAGGTTAAAAGTCCAGAAGCCGATAGCATCTCGTAACAAACCAACGACGGCATGTTGGTTATGTGGTGATTGGCACTACGTACGATTTTGTCCATTTAAAAAACATAAATGTCAGATGTGCAATAAACGTGGACATAAAGAAGGCCATTGCCAACCAATTCGTATGTCTCAGCCCAAGAAGAAGCGCAAACGTACTCGACATGTTGTGAAATCAGCCGAGTCTAAATCACTTTCTCTCGTAGCTGCTTTTCAAACAGACTATGACGTTCGGAGAAAGTATGTTACTATCCAGATGAACGGTGCATCAGCTCGTTTCCAAATCGACACGGCATCAGATATCACCCTAATGTCTAGAGAAACGTACAACTCGCTGGGAAAACCGCCAATGAAGCCATCTAAGAAAACAGCTAAAAGCGCTTCAGGTGGTGTGTTAAAACTGGTTGGTGAGATGCAGTGTGAATTTTCCTTCAACGGAAAAAAATGTACAGGAATATGCTATCTGACAGAACGGCCAAACCTTGATCTTCTTGGTCTAGATATTCTTGAAAAGCTGGGAATAATGGATTTACCCATTAACAGTGTCTGCAGCGTATCGTGTTCATCATTGGACACCCCGATACTTAAAAAGAAGACAGGTGAAAGGTTATAAGATAAAGGAAAGAGGAAGTCAGCCTCTGTTTCTCAGAATGGCCTTGGCCGCTGTACGAATCTGAAAGCAAACCTACCAGCGAAAGCAGATGCCAAACCTACTTCACGTCCGAGACGCCCTATACCATATGCTGTTCATGAGCCTCAACAAAACTTATCGGTGGGGAAGCAGCCCAATCGACGGTTGTTTAAAGATATGGTTCCTACAAAGCAGGCGGCTCGTAAGAGTACGGGTGGCAAGGCACCGAGGAAGCAGTTGGACCCTAGCACCAGATCCTACGAATCTTCTCAAAGGGGAGGTGTTAGTGGGACATAGATGGATTTAAAGCATGATTACGTCACTACGCGCTGATTGGCTAATTTCCTATCCAATCAGCGCCAGATCGAAGCTTGGAGAACAGGATAGAAAATTCTCGTATTATTAGCTGCATGCTGATTGGTCAAATCCAGTCCAGTCGATCACGTGAATTTTCTTCCAGAAGCTTTCTCATGAAAAGGCTATAAATAGACTTGCATTGTATCTATTTTTGCCTTCTTCGCCTTCTTACTTTCTTTGCCTTGGCTTACGCCATCACCTCCAGCTTCTTTTTCCTTGCTATTTTGGAATACAATCCTTCCTGTTCAACCGTGTTCTGATTTGGGTTGTGGTGCTGTGTTGCGAACTACTTATAAGTAGTATATAGCGTGAGTGTCAACGTAAAGTCTGGTAGCATAATATGGGGGGAAGATCAAGAAAGGAACAGTCAGAAAACAATGGAATTTGTATGAAACGCATGAAGAGTGACAATGGATTGATGTTTGGCAACAGGAACAGTCCAGTTCCATAGGATGAACTGATCCTTTGCAAATGAACGATTTACGATATGGTTTTCCGATTTTACTGACTAACTCTGTAATTTTCGTTAAATACAATTCGGTTGCCCCCACCTGTGTTCTCATTCACTACATTTGGTGTCGCTGCCTGCTCGAAGGAAGGGGCTCCCGTGGCCGAAGGAGTTGCAGGACGGAGATTGGCGGAGCTTCCTGGAGGAGTTTGGGGCCACGGTGGAGCTGGTGGGGGCTTGGGGCGGAGTTGACGGTGCTGGGGACGCTGTGGGGAGGTGAGGCGAAGGCGGTGCACGACAGCCTGGACGGTGCCACCAAGGAGACGGCGTGGGAGACGGTCACCGGGCGGCTGATAATGGAGTTCGACAGCCCAGCGGACAGGGAGGAGGCGCCGCAGAGGTTCCGGTTGGCGCGGCTGTCGGCCGATGGTGACCTGTTGGTGCTTGCTGTGGAGCTCACCGGATTGCGCCGTGAGGAGTGGACGGGGCACAGTCTTTGGCGTCGCAATTTATCGAGTGTGTGCCTGCCGCCGTGTTCCAGCATCGGGAACTTGTGGACGCTACACGTTGGATAGAAGCCGTATCCATTCCAGACCAGTGATCAAGAACGATGACCGAAGTGGTAATCCGGCATAGTGTAGCGTGTCACGGAATACGGAAGGTGATATTAACTGACCAGGAGCTCTGTTTTGAAGGACCACGACGACAGCTTATTAAAAGGGGGGACGAGTGTGGTGCTGTGTTGCGAACTACTTATAAGTAGTATATAGCGTGAGTGTCAACGTAAAGTCTGGTAGCATAATATGGGGGGAAGATCAAGAAAGGAACAGTCAGAAAACAATGGAATTTGTATGAAACGCATGAAGAGTGACAATGGATTGATGTTTGGCAACAGGAACAGTCCAGTTCCATAGGATGAACTGATCCTTTGCAAATGAACGATTTACGATATGGTTTTCCGATTTTACTGACTAACTCTGTAATTTTCGTTAAATACAATTCGGTTGCCTCCACCTGTGTTCTCATTCACTACAGGGTTACTTGTCCAGTGTTTTGTGTCGAGAGTACTAAGCAATAAGATTTAGCCGGGAAATATCGTAAGCAACCGTTACAACACGCGGGATGATAAAATAATGTGAGAAGAATTTGTTATGAAGATAAGGGTGATGTTAGTGGGTGTAGGAAGGATTTGATTGTGATTAATTTGATCTCGTGTGCTTTACATATATTAGGGCGGTTGTCACTTCCCGGCTGCCCACACTTTGGATGGTTGTTTCTTGAGGAACCTGTAAAGCGTTGTTCTTTGAGACCTGCGAGCGTGACCGCAGAGCCTAAGGGACGACTGCTTCAGGCCGGTCACGCACGGCCTTTTTATGAATGGTTTCTTGAGTATTAGTTCCGCTCTTAAAACCCCTTAGTGGGCACCCTTACCGCCGGAGATGGAAATCCGTGAGGTAGGATGAGGTGTGACATTTTTAGGCTCGACATTTTCTAACCCCTCCTTCCTTTTGAGAAGTCAGCATCGCTGTAGATGCTGGTTGTCCGAGGAAAACACCTTACTGCCGTCACATCCCTCTATAGTCGAAAGTACGACTTTGCCCACAGACCTTGAGTAGCTGCTTTTAGTCTGATTTTTCTGCAATCGACCTGTTTGGCATGGTGAAACCTACAGAAACAAGTGACCTAGCCAATATATCTCGATTGGGTGATCACAATAGGTAAGCCCGACCACCACGTCAAGTTAGCAGCTACGTTCGGGAGTAATCGTTTGTATTATGAAGTTGCTTTTATGAATTTGTTTGAAGTATATTCAACCTATGATTTTTAAGAACGTTTACGCTCACGATTTAGTTTCAGTATTCCAATAAACAAAATAAATAATTAATGATATCCGCCATACTCCTGTGCAATCATGTCCTAACTTTAAGATGTAGTTGTTAAAGTACTTGTCTTTCAATCGGGTGGTCACAGGTTTGGATTGCATTTCACTCACAAATTTAAAGTACGTACAACTTTTTTACCCAGCTGGTATGCTTATGCTAACTCAATACGCTCATACATTGAAGTCGAAAAACATGAACAACATAATAGGGAGCACTATTGTTTATATTACTATTGGTTTAACTCGATTTTTTCATCTGTTTTCTTTTTCATTTAATCTGGTCGTCGGAATATGTCATTCTTTAAGCTGGTAAACATATTGTCCTAACTAAATGTCAATCAACAACAAAATGTGATACAACTGTATCGATTCATATAGCTACACATGTGAAACATTAGTGGCTCGAAATGTGTAACAAGAGTTATTGATTGCTGAAAAAATAAGACGAGACAAACTGGGAAAGAAAAACAACGAATTAAACAATATCAATGTTAAAAAGGTTGTGAAATCACCAAGAATCTACCGATCTTCAGTAATTGCTATTCTAAGAGGCATTACATTTTCAATTGTTCATTGAATTAAAAAACAGCATCATATTGACCATTATCATATTCTTAATTGTTTTATTTTAATTAAATTATCTTTTGTTCCAATATTTTCCACTTAAATCTTAGTCTAGAATGATAAATGAATGGCAAGGATTAAATGTACAATTAATTGAAGGTGATATGCGTAATTTAAAACTACCAGAAAAAGCTGATATATTTGTCAGTGAACTACTTGGTTCATTCGGTGATAATGAATTAAGTCCAGAATGTTTAGATGGTGCACAGCCAATGTTAAAAGGTAAGTTTTTTTCTTCATTCTTTTGATTTTATGAAATTAATTGATTTATTTTTTGTTATTATTTCCCTACTGTCTAGTATTCTCCAACTATGATACTTCATTTGTGTTTTCCAAATTATAACACACACTATATACATTCTAATAAGCCGAACATTTAAAATATCCATAGTAGAAAGTATCCAAATTTTCATTTTAACTCTGATGATATCTTGACTTGTTTATTGGCGTCGATTAACAACTCATTCCTATTTCATTTTGATCAATGCATACACTAGTTAGATTCTCTATTATTTACAGTTCTCATTTGATAAAGTCTTCTAAAAGTATTTTATACTGGATCTGATTAATTGAAACCGATTCCAAATCAATTTGCTTTGTAATCATTATATAATTTGTATACATAATATGAATAATTAATTCGTTTACTTTAAACAGTTTTCAAACAATTCGTTAATCAAACCAATCAATCAACATCAACGTAGGACTTCGTACGTACGTACGTACATCAGATCAAGTTGCCGTACCACGTTGACACAGAGGAACTGCGTTTGTGTGGTGAATGAAACAAACTTATTTTCAAACATTGGTAACACAATACTAGTGTAGTAAATTAAAATCACAAAGTGACATATAGTTAGTAGAAATTGCTACCATAGGAGAGCGCCTAGAGATCAAAATGCATGGCGCATTCAGAATGTGTTGCAGACCAGACGAGATGTGAGAGAAGATAATTAAAAATCTGCTTGTACTGCAAATGGATGTCTGAAAGCTATTTCAGTCATTCAGTCAACAACAACATAGAACTTCATATTTACGTACATCATGTTCGAATCCGATAGTAGTAGGGGTAGTAGAAGTATTAGCAGTAATCGGAGGTTTTAGGGTTTGAAGATGTCATTCGAGAAGTAGAATCTAGTGAATTGGACTTAAAAAGAAAGGTAAGGATTTTAGAGAACACAAAGAATGAATGCACCTGCGCCATTGAAAACGGTTTTGAGACATGTCGTTCAGGGTCTCTAACCATCGGTTACGATTGTCTCGCGGACTCCAACCAGGTAGTCGACCATTACCGACATGGCTAAGTCCACTCGTCAATGACTTCATAGATTTCTGCCATGTTTTCGTTTGACCGCCCCTAGCTTTTTTTAACCTATTCCTACATGGCAAAGCATAGCTCGACGAGGCAGTCGGTGGTTTCGGCATACGTAACACATGTCCCAACTACCTCAACTGATGAAGTTTAAATACTCCATCTATTGATCTGCCATCCTTGCCTATGATACGTTTCCTAACCACAGGATTGGCCCACGATACACGAGTAATGCTTCTGAGATACCTGTGATCGAAAATCAGCAACGTACGAATATCTTCTACTCTGACTGACTATGGTTCTCTGATATACAGTAGGACGGAGCGAACTGCCAAGCAGTACACTCGTCATTTAGTCAGCATTCGGTTATCCTGCCTATATGTTAATCAAACCAGATCACTTTCATCAATTTCTTTGTATTATGATGTCATTATAAAGCTTTATACTGAATGAATTAAATATTCAAGAACACAGTATGTGCATTAGTCAAAATTATTTTTTACAAAAATATTTTAAACCAAACTGAAAGTTGTCTCATTTTTTTCCAGATTAGTTCGTTATGCGTGAAGTTGATGTAGTTTTGTTTTCTTTAACATGATTGCTCGCTAGTAACTAACAAAAGAAAAACTCCATTTTAGCTCATAAAAATAATCCTCTCATTCGATTAGACACAATAACAATCGTTTTGTATGAACTAGAACAAAAATCAATTTTTAATTGCTGTTTACAGGATTTCACAAAAATATCTTATCGTCAACAGTGAAATTGTCCAAGATACTTGACTTTTCTGGAATACAAATTGATAGATCTATTTTTGAAACATTAGTAATACATGGAATAGTTGAAATTTAGTTTTTCTCCTATAGATGTTATGATTGTTGATTGTTATTTATAATTAATTCATCTTGGAATTGAATCAACAGATAATTTAGTTCATGTAACTTAATATTACTGTTGTGTATTTTCATTAAAAACCGCAATTATCAAACTGCTAGTCGATCCATTTGATCTTCAATCCTCTTGTAGAATGAAGAAAATACTTGAGTTTTGATAATTGAACACAAATATAAGTATCTTAACACAATTAACAGTGTCAATATTATCTGTGTTTGTCTAACAATAATTGAAAGTTGCAAAGAACTTCAAAGATTTTGAACAGAGTGACTTAGTAGAAAAGGAAGCTATTAATTAGGATACATTTTGAAAAATAGAAAGAAAGTTATTTGTGAAACGTATTCAGATTATATCTATGTAGAAACAAATCATCGTCTTAAATAAATAACAAGTATTCAAGATCACGTTTGTTCTTTTATTTTGTACATAATGGCAGAGTTTTATGATTTAACAGAAATATTAGATTTTCACTATTTGTCTCTACACTGTTAACTATGCATTGATATAACCTTTTTGAAAGGATTCATGAAATTCTGATGAGTAAATGTAACTAGTTAGAAAATCAAACCGAACCATCAATTAATTGTAAACTTAGTGGTTTAAAATTAAGGCCATCATGTCAGGATCTAAGAGTTCTGGGTTCAGTTTCTGGTATGATTATGAGTAGGCTAGAACGAAATAGTCATTCAGTGCTTCATAGTTTAGAATAATTATCTAGCTCAAATCTCTATGTGATACAGATGACTTAATATCAGTAGTTTCATTTACACCCATGTTTTGCTACATTTTCTTCCATACATTCTTCAATATGATTAGAATGCTTTTCATATCATCCTATAATTTCTAACTAATCTTTGTGTGTAAGTGGTTTATATTTGTGAACATAGAAATCAGCATGTAATAATGTTGTTTTTCTGATATTAACTAATGAATGTTTCATTCTCATCGTTTGTTTATTATGTGTTCTTATTTCAATTAGATGATGGAATTAGTATACCATGTTCCTATACATCTTATGTTGCTCCTTTACAATCCTTACAAATATATAATGAAACCAGACGATCTAAAGATGTGGTAAGGTGGTTACTATTCGAATTGTTATTCTTTTCATGTGTTTAGAATATGGTCAAGAATGGTAGATTGGATTGTGAATTGTTAATATATACTATTTAGTTACAAATTACAAGTGATACTCTGTTATTCAGTAAAGATGTTCGTAGGCTACTAGTTTTCGATCATAGATGTCTTAGAAGCATTGCACGTATATCGTGGGACACCCGAGTAAGCAATGCTGTCGTTAGGAAACGAGTACTAGGTAAGGATGGAACGCAAATAGATTAAGTATTGAAACTTCATCAGTTGAGGTGGTTGGGACATGTGTTGCATCTGCCTAACCACCGATCACCTCGACGAGCTATGTTTTGTGTTGTAGGAATAGGTTGGAAGAAAGCTAAGGGATTGTGGTGGTGTTTCGTTCTCTGAGCTGGTTGTTTTGGTTGTGGAGCTTTCATTGTTCTTCTGAACAACATCATCAGACCCGACCGTAGCTGCTACCTTGACGTGGTGGTCGGGCTTGCCTATCGTGATGACCCAACCGAGCTATACTGGCTGGAACATATGTTCCTGCAGGTCCTACCATGCCAGGCAGGTCGATTGGAGAACGATGAGACTAAAAGCAGCTACCCAAGGTCTGAGGGCGAAGTCGTACTGCTGACTGCAGAGGGGTGTGACAGCAGTAAGGTGTTTTCCTCGGACAACCAGCATCTGCAGCGATGCTGCGTTCTCACAAGGAAGGAAGGGTTAGAAAAGGTCGGCCCTAAAAATGTCACACCTCCCCTAACTCACGGATTTCCGTCTCCTTGGGTAAGGGTGCCCACTAAGGGCCTTTAAGAACGGAGCTAATCCTCAAAAAACATTTCATAAAAAGGCCATGCGTGACTGGCCTCAAGCAGTTGTCCCTTGGGCTCTGCGGTCACGCACCAACACTAATCTATCTTCCTTTTCAGGTTCGTCAAGAAACAACCTTCCACGGTGTGGGCAGCCGGGAAGTGACAACCGCCCTCATACCCATAACAGCACGCGAGACCGAATTGGTCAAATCAAATCCTTCCTACACCCCCCTAGTAACGTCTCTTATCTCCACGACTAACTCTTCTCACATTCATCATCCAGTGCACAGCTAATGCAGACGATACGAGTTCGCGAAACGTCGTTTCCAATTTGAGAATTTATCATTGTAAATTGTTATTATTTCTATATTTTGTACTTATATTGAAGTTTTTATGTTTGTTTCTGAACTGTATATATGTTGTTTAATTTTGATCTTTAATATGGCTACAGCCATAACTGGATTTGATACTGTTGCGGTCGGATCTAGCATCACTTATTCCTTTTAAACTTGGATACTCATCAGAGTAATTGGGACTTGGAAAGTGTATCAAAAGTCAGGTATTGATTTGTATTTCCATTTTAACATAATATAGACCGCTTTCTCCTAGAATTATTGTGTTTTGATATTGGATTGGGGGATAGCGCGTTCGACTCACACTTACTGGAAACAAATTGAACTGCTACGGTAGAAAATCCATCTACAGGGATTGTTTGGCGTGTTTAATATGGTGTACGCAATAATCAGGTCACCTCTGATTCTCCTGTAGCTCAGCTCTATCGTCGTACGGTTTATTTTTCAACCCATCACCCATTTGGTTGCTCGTCTCTGCACTCGATCCAAGAGATTAATGTCTCTTTTAAGCAGAGGGGGTGCGATGACGTTGTGAACCTCCAAGTGTGGGCGCGCGTGTCTACGACAGCGTTTTGGATGATATCTCTCACTGCTTGCCAGTGATCATCTACTGTCAGCCTCCGCCACTCCCGTGGCTATGGGGCATGTAGGAGCACCTCTCTCATGCGTGTGTAGTTTGCCCTACTGTATCAGAGGTAAGGCTCGTTATCGTCCGGTGTCAGCGTTTCGTTTGTGACCATGTTAAACAGGACTGTGCCATGGTCACTACTACCTATTGGAGCGCGGATGTGAACATCCTCAACCAGGAGCTGGTCGTTCGTTAACAGATAATCTAGGTTTGAGGACTTCCCTTCCTTAGTCCACCTAGTGGCGCTGCGTACGTGCTCAGTCAGGCCAGAGCTTCTAATGGCTGTACCAAGTTGTCTTTGGATACAACCAGTGGGAGTTATACTCTGATTGCTGAGATTTAAAGATGGGGTATTGAAGTCTCCGGCTAAGAGTATTTGATCAAACCCTAGGAGTGGCAGTTGCAGAATTACCTCAATCAGTTTGCTTTTCTGGGCCCTAGTACCCGAAGGAGGTCGGTAGATCCCTCCAATCAAGTATTTCGTGCCATTTGAGTGGAACCAACACCAACATGATTCTGTCACCTCAGTTAGTTGGGTATTGTGTAGCCGCTCTGCTTTTAAGTGGCTATTTACATATATAGCCACTCCACCTCAATTTTGGTGTTCCCTATCGCTTCGGAAGTGTGTCATGCCTGGTGAGCCCACTTCTGCGTCTGCAATGTCAGGGGATAGCCATGTTTCTGTTAGGATTATGATCTTCAGATCCATCTGAGAGCGCATATTCCTGACTTCTAACAGCTTACCCCTTAGTCCTCTTACGTTGCTATAGAGGCACTTGGTGGTTTGTCTCTGAACCTGGTGCACATTTGCAGCATCAGCCTTAGTCGGGTTTTCAGACAAGTTATTTAAACCCAGTCGGCCAGTTCTGTGGGAACTGGCCTCTGCAGGTTTTTTGCCTGCGCGGTTGGTTCACTCACATCTTGAGCCAGCGGTAGTTGACCGAGTTTAACTATCAGCTGTGTGCGTTCATTTTGGCCTCCCTGTTGTTGTCTCACAAATCTAGGTCGGCTCTCACAACATCTGATGTGGCTAGGTAGATCGTTCTTCGAACTGTACCAAGCTTGTAGTGTTTCGGTCAGGTCTTCCCGGTTCCTGAGTGTTACAGCTATCAGGCGTGGTGACTTGATAGACGTAAGATGTGACGGGCGGGGCAACCTGGAGATGCAGACTGCCATCGGGGTGTGGAGGGATAGGCTACGCGATAGCCACCGCCACTGTCGCACATCGTGCTCGTGTGCTTCGTCCGGGTTACCATTGGTGAGTTCGGGTATGCCGTGAACTACCATGGTGGTCTGTTCCTGCGTGTCTGGTGCAGTTCTGGCTGCTGCACGCACCGACCACGGCTTGTCATGCCTGATACGAATCAGCGGGGACAATTTGACCGACGGTCTTTGGGACGAAAGGATGATGTCTTCAGCTAGCCGTGCTGAGTCAAGAGTTACCTCATTAGAGGAGGTTTTCCTTTCGAGACGTTCTGGCCTTTGAAAAGGCGACATATTTTAGCTGGGACCTCGCACATTCCGAGGGTTGAGCAGAGTTTATCCCATTGCTCTTTGTCGAAGGCAGCCCTACCTTCTAGCAAGCTTCCTTCCGACACTGGGACATTAAATAAGATGAGGGAGTTAGATCTGTTGTCCCTGGTCTTGGGTGGAGGCTGCTCGTGAGTTGGGGTGTTTCCCTTTCCCTCCTTTACGGTCACCCATTGTTGCCTGTTGCTGGTAGCTACTGGGGGGTTAACAACAACCGGCAGTTTTGTCGGTGTGTTAGGCAGGGTTGTGGTTTAGTGCCGGTTTAGTGCCAGGCGATCTTGCTTTGGTCGTTTGGACTTGGGGGCTGGTTTTAGGTGAGACCTGTGGCTTTGTCAGTGCCTCAGAAACTCTGCACCGAGGGCATATGTACCAGAACCATGGGCAGGGGTGACTCAGCATGAAACCATACTACTGTTTAGGTACTGTATTGTCGCAGTGACAATGTACCCATGTACTGCAGAAATTGCATTCGAAAGCATGGTCGCTGGTTTTGACTGGTGATGAGCAGGCAAAATAGTCGTCCTTATGCTGTTTCTATGTCGACCGAGCCTTGGAGCGTCTTTTTCTCCTGTTCTGAACTAACTTACTGGTCTTTTTAGGAATAGGGGTGGTGTCTTGCTTCCTCTGTGGTGTCTGGGTTGAGTGGTCTAAAGTGTGGACACTGAGGGGCGTACTATCGACTGACCTTTTGGGATTTTTAGCAGCCCGTTCGCACGATATTGAAATATTCGATGCGCTATCGACCCCGGGGTTTATGCCTCTATAAGTTTTCCTAGTTGTTACAGTGTAAAGTGTACTAGCGACCTTATTACTTGACATGATACCAGGGAGATTAGGAGGTGAATACCGAGATTAAAATATGAGATACACAAAACTAGGATACGAGATACACAAAAAAGGGGTTTAGGAAAGAAATTTAGTAGTATATAATAAAACTACAAGGAATAGAGCCTGAAAGTACTCCAAAATTGCAACTTTACCTTTGACCGTATTAGTAAGTAAATTTGCCTGTATCCAGTAACTTGTCCACAAGTCCTGTGTTTGTAAGTGAGTGGATGTATGTATGCTGCCGAATCAACTAGAAATACAGCAGTTGAATGAGGTAGCTAGACCTACCGCGCAATGGTTCTGACTTGGAATGGATCCGTATACCCGAAAATGTTTTCAGGTTGTCAACCAATGAATGGAGAGAACTTTTTATAGGGATTTTGAAGAGTTTTATCCTTCTGATAACTGTAAGTACAACTGTCAATTATATAACTGTGGTGCACTATCGATTTGTTCTATTTTCATTGCTTTGTCTCGTATTGGAGTTTTTAAATAAGCGAAACATTAACATGCACATTGAAATATACCTGAAATGAATGTTCAGTTCAATAATGATTCATTGAACATGATATGTGTTGAAAGCGATCGAGGACAGTTTAGTAGGACGAATACGGACAAAATTAGTTGGGCGGCGAGCAAAATCAATGGCAATCATGGACACGATGATCGTTGTTACTTAAAATTGAAATTATTTGTTGATTGTTGAGCATTTACTGAATGTCAATCAAAACTTTGGAAATAACTGATTCCAACATTATTTAATGTATTTGTAACAAAATGTTAATATCTTTCAAAAAAAGTGTAAGATAAAGAGGTACCAACTTGTATTGACGAAGTGAAGAAAAATTTCAAGTGGACACTGAATGAATATCACGATTTTTCTGATATAAGTGAGAGTATGAAAAAAGAGGTCAGTTTCAAATATGATAAACTATTTTATACCTATTGTTCAGATTTCAATGAATACACTTATGTATATAGCATAACTACCCATGGGATATCTTGATTTTCAGAAAAAAAATATCGTCATTTACCCAATTTATCAAGAAGTCAGAAAGTTAGTGAAAAACGTAGGATTCGGAAACTTATCACAGCTGGATACGAATAAAATTGGAAATCAGACGATGACAGGCGTACAGTCAATCAATAAGTCAGTCACTTACAACGTAGAACTTCGTACATTCGTACATTAGTTTAAATTGCCAAAACCCTCTCACGGTGTGTTCATCTGGGAAGTAACATCTGCCTTAATACCCGTAATAACACACATAAAAGGTTTAAGGTCAATTACAGTCAATCAAGATTGAAATTAACAAAACAAGCTACGAATCATACATGGAGATATTCGAATACTTCAATTTTATCTGAAGTTTGTGTGAATGATGTTATTCAGAAGAACAGTGAAAACTTCACAACCAAAATATCCAACTCAGATAACTTATCTCTATTACTATAAATAAATTTATATAAACAGAAGTCGAGTGAAAATATACAAGCATCATTTCAATTTAAGTTTAAAAGGTTTTCTACAGTGTAGCATTTTTTCCTAACGAAGTCTTTCATTTGATTATCGGTAGAGTGAAATTTTAACTTTAGCTTTTTAAAACTCTCTATCAATGATAATTTATTTGTTATAATTTAGGCAATTTACAAAGCTCTCTGCGATCGTTCATGTAAACGTAATAAGTCAAGTACAGATATAGAAAAAAATCTTGTCAGCCATTCACAATCATCACAGACTAAAGAGTATATAAATGGATCAATTGATTATAATTCAAATGCTTATCAAGTAGTTATGGTATTGGGTGCAGGTCGTGGTCCGCTTGTCAATGCCACTATAAATGCTGCCGAAAAAGCTCAATGTAAAGTTCGTATATATGCTATTGAAAAAAATCCGAATGCATTGTATACATTACGTGTAAGTTTTCCGGTATTATTTTTTCATTTACTAACAATGTTAAGTGTATAGAGATAAATTTCTGGTCGAAAATCATTTATCATAGTCCAACTCAATATTTCGATCCTATCTTTTTATGAAACTTTGAATTAAGTGACATGAACATTGAAAACCTTTCAATAGTTGACTTGATCGGTGAACATTTAATTTAATAACACTTTATACACAGTAATCGTGTCAGTCAGTCAGTTACAACATAGAACTTCGTACGTAAGTACGTCAGATCAGGTTGCGATACCAAATTACCAGAGATATAATTGTCAATTCAAATTCCATAGTGGTGAAGATAGTAAAAGAATTACTGCTAACGGAGAGGATTAGGATTTGAAGATAATATTCAAGAAGTATAAATCAGTGAGATAAATTTAGAAGGAGAAAGATAGAGTTGTTGACGAATCCAGAAGATTAGGATTCAAGGGAACACAAAGAGTGGATACACTTGCGCCATCGAAACGATTTTGAGCCATGTCGTTCAAGGTGACTTTCTTCTCGCGGACCCCAACCAGGTAGCCTACATCTACAAATATGACTCAGTCAACTTGTCAGTGACTTCATGAATTTGTGCCATGTTTTGGTTTAGTCGCCCCTAGCTTTCTTCCAACCTACTCCTACACTACAAAACAGCTCGTCGCTGAAGTCGGTGGTTAGGCATTCGTAACACATGTCCCAACTACCTCAACTGATGAAGTTTCAACACTTCATCTACTGACCTGCAATCCTTAACGATGACCCATTTCCTAACGACAGCATTGCTTACTCGGTTGTCCCACGATACATGAGTAATCGTTATGTGATCCAGCTGGGTCCATCATTGGGTCGGATTTGGCGGTCGCCAGGTCAAAATGTGTTGTACCTTAAGCATAAAGTTTGTGTTTGCTAGAAATAGGCGGTTATGTGAGCAAAGCTTCAGCACAGGGTCGCCACTATCCGTTCTATTAGTCGTGACACCATAAGATCCATCAAGGTGCCTTTCCTTTTCATCTAATCTATATTGAATGCTCCAACATGAAGTTTAGTACTGGTTTTCAGGAAACTAGGAATAATGTTTCGTGAACTCTAATCGTTTGCTGCAGAGGCGCTGGGTGATAAAATAATGTGAGAAGAATTAGTTATGAAGGTAAGGGTGATGTTAGTGGGTGTAGGAAGGATTTGATTGTGATTAATTTGATCTCGTGTGCATTACATATATGAGGGCGGTTGTCACTTCCCGGCTGCCCACACTTTGGATGGTTGTTTCTTGAGGAACGTGAAAAGCGTTGTTCTTTGAGACCTGCGAGCGTGACCGCAGAGCCTAAGGGACAACTGCTTCAGGCCGGTCACGCACGGCCTTTTTATGAAAGGTTTCTTGAGTGTCAGTTCAGCTCTTCAAACCCCTTAGTGGGCACCCTTACCGCCGGAGATGGAAATCCGTGAGGTAGGATGAGGTGTGACAGTTTTAGGCTCGACATTTTCTAACCCCTCCTTCCTTTTGAGAAGTCAGCATCGCTGTAGATGCTGGTTGTCCGAGGAAAACACCTTACTGCCGTCACATCCCTCTATAGTCGAAAGTACGACTTTGCCCACAGACCTTGAGTAGCTGCTTTTAGTCTGATTTTTCTGCAATCTACCTGTTTGGCATGGTGAAACCTACAGAAACAAGTGACCCAGCCAATATATCTCGATTGGGTGATCACAATAGGTAAGCCCGACCACCACGTCAAGTTAGCAGCTACGTTCGGGAGTAATCGTTTGTATTATGAAGTTGCTTTTATGAATTTTTTTGAAGTATATTTAACCTATGATTTTTAAGAACGTTTACGCTCATGATTTAGTTTCAGTATTCCAATAAACAAAATAAATAATTAATGATATCCGCCATACTCCTGTGCAATCATGTCCTAACTTTAAGATGTAGTTGTTAAAGTACTTGTCTTTCAATCGGGTGGTCACAGGTTTGGATTGCATTTCACTCACAAATTTAAAGTACGTACAACTTTTTTACCCAGCTGGTATGCTTATGCTAACTCAATACGCTCATACATTGAAGTCGAAAAACATGAACAACATAATAGGGAGCACTACTGTTTATATTACTATCGGTTTAACTCGATTTTTTCATCTGTTTTCTTTTTCATTTAATCTGATAGTCGGAATATGTCATTCTTTAAGCTGGTAAACATATTGTCCTAACTATATGTCAATCAACACAAAATGTGATACAACTGTATCGATTCATATAGCTACACATGTGTAACATTAATGGCTCGAAATGTGTAACAAGAGTTATTGATTGCTGAAAAAATAAGACGAGACAAACTGGGAAAGAAAAACAACGAATTAAACAATATCAATGTTAAAAAGGTTGTGAAATCACCAAGAATCTACCGATCTTTAGTAATTGCTAGTCTATGAGGCATTACATTTTCAATTGTTCATTGAATTAAAAAACAGCATCATATTGACCATTATCATATTCTTAATTGTTTTATTTTAATTAAATTATCTTTTGTTCCAATATTTTCCACTTCAATCTTAGTCTAGAATGATAAATGAATGGCAAGGATTAAATGTACAATTAATTGACGGTGATATGCGTAATTTAAGACTACCAGAAAAAGCTGATACATTTGTCAGTGAACTACTTGGTTCATTCGGTGATAATGAATTAAGTCCAGAATGTTTAGATGGTGCACAGCCAATGTTAAAAGGTAAGTTTTTTTCTTCATTCTTTTGATTTTATGAAATTAATTGATTTATTTTTTGTTATTATTTCCCTACTGTCTAGTATTCTCCAACCATGATACTTCATTTGTGTTTTCCAGATTATAACACACACTATATACATTCTAATAAGCCGAACATTTAAAATATCCATAGTAGAAAGTATCCAAATTTTCATTTTGACTCTGATGATATCTTGACTTGTTCATTGGCGTCGAATAACAACTCATTCCTATTTCATTTTGATCAATGCATACACTAGTTAGATTCTCTATTATTTACAGTTCTCATTTGATAAAGTCTTCTAAAAGTATTTTATACTGGATCTGATTAATTGAAACCGATTCCAATTCAATTTGCTTTGTAATCAATCATTATATAATTTGTATATATAATATGAATAATTAATTCGTTTACTTTAAACAGTTTTCAAACAATTCGTTAATCAAACCAATCAATCAACATCAACGTAGGACTTCGTACGTACGTACGTACATCAGATCAAGTTGCCGTACCACGTTGGCACAAAGAAACTGCGTTTGTATGGTGAATGAAACAAACTTATTTTCAAACATCGGTAACACAATACTAGTGTAGTAAATTAAAATCACAAAGTGACATATAGTTAGTAGAAATTGCTACCATAGGAGAGCGCCTAGAGATCAAAATGCATGGCGCATTCAGAATGTGTTGCAGACCAGACGAGATGTGAGAGAGGATAATTTAAAATCTTCTTGTACTGCAAATGGATGTTTGAAAGCTATTTCAGTCATTCAGTCAACAACAACATAGAACTTCATATTTACGTACATCATGTTCGAATCCCATAGTAGTAGGGGTAGTAGAAGTATTAGCAGTAATCGGAGGTTTTAGGGTTCGAAGATGTTATTCAAGAAGTAGAATCTAGTGAATTGGACTTAAAAAGAAAGGTATGGATTTTAGAGAACACAAAGAATGAATGCACCTGCGCCATTGAAAACGGTTTTGAGACATGTCGTTCAGGGTCTCTAACCATCGGTTACGATTGTCTCGCGGACTCCAACCAGGTAGTCGACAATTACCGACATGGCTAAGTCCACTCGTCAATGACTTCATAGATTTCTGCCATGTTTTCGTTTGACCGCCCCTAGCTTTTTTTAACCTATTCCTACATGGCAAAGCATAGCTCGACGAGGCAGTCGGTGGTTGGGACATGTGTTACGTATGGCCAACCACCTCAACTGATGAAGTTTCAATACTCCATCTATTGATCTACCATCCTTACCTATGATACGCTTCCTAACCACAGGATTGGCCCACGATACACGAGTAATGCTTCTGAGACACCTCTGACCGAAAATCAGCAACTTACGAATATCTTCTACTCTGACTGACCATGTCTCGCATCCATATTATAGGACTGAGCGAACTACCGCGCAGTATTCTCGTCCTTTGGATAGCAAACGGATACCTCGTCTGCGCTATAAGTGATTTGTAGTTTGTAAATAAATTGCCTCCTATAAATATATCTCATCTAGTCTTGATTCCTTCGTACATTACAGTAGCATATGCAAAAGCTAATTAATTACTAATAGTTAACAAAACCATGTTACAGTCATTAAACGAAACATGAAGACTCATAAGTACCTTGAAGAACCGACTGATTATATATTGATGACTTTTTGGCAGTACAGGGTATCCCTTCGCATTTGTCAAAAATAACTGTGTATGAATCAACAAGCAAACTACAGGCTCACCAAACCATCTTGCAATCACTGACTCATCAGGTAGGTCATTCTGTATCTCAAGAACAATACCAAGAGCATCTGAGATATCAGCCGCCATGGTCGACAAATTTAGCCACCAATGCCAAGGTGAGTAGACTGATACTTCATCCAGTGTTGATTCTTTGTTTTCATTCATATCTTCTGGAATAAACCATATTAAGAAGTATACCACAATCACGAAGTATACAGAGAACAAGTACATTTCAAAAGCTTGAAGTTGCATCAACCAGAATAATAAAGACTATTAGGTTATTTTTTATGTAATAAGTTCATGATAAGGTCTATCACAACAATGTACCACTTAAAGATAATTTTTCATTTCAGGTAATTTGTTTTTTCGAATAAGATCTTTCTGTCTGAAAATCACTAGCTATTCTAAGAGCAGACATTCTGAACTATGAAGTAAAAGGCCAGTTTTGAAATCCTAGATAATTTCTAGAACTTTCCGATGAAGAACCAAAAGTTTTCACATTTCTCGTGACGAATCTTCAGAGGGGAATAGTCTGAGTCGTATAAGTGATTGCTTCATATGTTTTGGCTAGGACAATCAAGTGAGTTTACCCTAGTGAGGATTGATTGCCATCTGATAGTGCGATCGGCTTCTTAAACGCTGACTATAAGCGTTTGATTACATTTACAGAATACATAACACGTGAGTTCAGAAGTTCTCCTATCAAGTGTAAAATCATTCACCGTAATACTATATCATTGTTCAGCTTTGAATTCTGACTATAGCCACGGGCGCAGACAAAAAAATAACATAGAATTGATATGAATGATATAAAATACCACTCACTTTTATCAAAGCTGTTGAAGTCAATTATCATTGGAAATACTAGCCATATCTTTTAAAATATTAACGAAATCAATGTGGATACCTTGATCGGGATATATTCTCCACGTATAAAATTTATTAATAACCTAGCCAGATTAGGATTGGTTGGACGATTAACTCTGATGCTTACGGCGGGTAAGCCAAGATGTGCAGCCCAGCTAAGTTCCTTCATTAAGAGTTGAGCACCAGTTTGACGGATAGATAAAATATCAGCATCGACATCAATGGTTGTCGATACCTTACCAACCAACGACTTTGTGATACTCTTACCTAAATCCTGAGAAAAAAAAATGACTGCATACCATTTTTATCATATGCAAGGTCAGAACGTGGAACAGCATCAGAAGAACTAACCGAGAGTTTTTCAGTAATTAACTTCGGATGAAACAAATCTATGCAAAGAAACGAAAAGCTAAAGTTGAAACATAAAACCTTTTAACTTTACCCATAAGATAAAACTGTAGAAAACTGTGACGATACGTCATTTGTGAAAACCAGGTCAAGCCCCACCAATGCTTCTGAGGCCATACTCGGAAAAAGTTTCGAATCACGCGGTTGACCTAGAGAATTCTTACACTGAAGGTTAGCCATGTCTCGCTATCCAATTATAGAGAACCGAAGAGTACCGAAAAGTAAAATTAACAATAATATAACAGTGAATCGGATTGATCGTTTCCATTGTTAACAACAACAGAAGTACATAAAAGTTCATGTGCGTTTTCTTTCTTTTTTCAGTTGTCGTAAACTGTGATGACAACGAAATTGCACTATTTATGAATACATGGTAGTTTAAGAGGAGCTAACGTTCACTTACTGAGTTTACATTTGAATTTAAATATGGAAAATAAGATGGGAAATGCTACTAGATTACGATAATTTTGAACAATAGACGTGGATAAGATTTTTCATCGACACAGTTATGCTCATCTACAGTGCGGTGAGTTTATAAGGCACATGAGACTAGAATATTGCTACTTTAGCTTATATTTGGTCACGATTTTCAGCCAGTAGATGTGAATTCTTAATTGTTACTTGGTCTATTTTATATGAGTATAACATTTCCTTTTAATGTGTTCAGTAATGAACGAATTTTGTGTATTATCTTATACCGAAAACTCCCTACTTGCTCCTTATTTTACTTTCAATAAAGTATGTATATGTGGCTGTTAGAATTCAATTGAACTCTAATTGTGTCTGTTGGACTGGACTAGTAGCTATCTTGGGATTCTGACTAATGGACGTTTGATGTGTGGATCACCGATGCAGGTGATCTAATCTCATTTGATGTTAATGATGTTACCTCGCTCACACTGTAATCACGCCTGAACAGTGGATTAGTCGCCGTAAGTTTGTGTAGCTACAAGTGGATCACAGGTACCAAACATCCGCGCTGGCTGAAATATCAGTCAACAGTTTCGAACGTTTGGACAATTAGATTTTTGACACTTTCCTTCCAGTAACAAATCGGTGACTATGAAAACAGTTTGTAAAGTCATTTTATTTATGTTTCAGAATAATTTTTCCGACAACAACCATTACTTGAATGTGTACTATTCCCAAAAGACTGAATTTCTTAGATCTATGCATGCTATTTTGAATGACGTTGACTTGTGAGTTGTATCATTTAGTTATATTTATTAAGTGACTTTAAGTAACCTTGGTATTCAAACACAATAAATCTTATATTCATAGGAGAAATACTGTTTAAAACGTGATTTACATGTAATATTGTTTGAAACGGTAAATTAATAATTCACTTTGAAATGGGTGACATAATTGATTCTACTTGATGATCTGCCTTGATGTTTCTTTTTCATTTAGGAGGGCTTATCTATAATAAAAGAGTTCAAAGCCATAATCTCAGAGTTTCTTCCGATCATTTACGAAATAATAGATAAAGAACATGCGAAACTGATGTAGCGATTCGGATCAAAAATTAGGTTTCTAGATATATTCATTTACTGGTGAATATTCTTCCTTTGTGTTTTACTCTTATACCACCAGTCGTCAGTAGGAGGTTAATCTCAAATATTTATATGGAAAGAAGCATGCTAACAGAGCTTATTGTTGATTTCTTAAACTGGACTAAGGATTTCTAAAACCGTGAAATGATGTCGATTCATTCAAAAAACATGGTTTCAATAAATCTGATCATTATATCAAGGGTATGCGGTTCGAATTTCTCCTGTTCGGTAACTGTAGGTAAAGCCTTATCTATGGAACAGAATATGCACAATATATAGTGATTTTTCAAGGATTCGTAACTGAAAATACTTACAACAAATTAGTTCGATGACAGATTTAGTCATCCATCCATTTCTTGTGAATAAAATGTTCATCAATTTCAATGATCTTATTGATGTTCGTTTCATATTTACACATGATTAGAAATGGGATCTTCACTTTCATACCATATGCATCTGGTTTTGATGATACTGGTACCATGAGTATGTCTGCTGCGATGTTGCATCCACCTTTCTTGCATGCTCAACATTCAACATCTGAAAAATATGGGATCCTTGGTTGGCTTATCGGTCGTCAATTAATATCTTATGGTAACTTTTACTGTTTTTTATCTTGTATAATTCTACAACTAATAAAACTGAATATTCTGAATTGGATACACACAGTTGACGTTTGCTGATTTCGCTTTTCTTAACACATGACTAACTTACTGATGTTAATTTTGTGTATATGAGTTGTTTCTTCTTTGTTACCGAATACGTCTAAACTGAGTATGATAGACTATTCAATAGTTTGTAGCCAACAATTATTTAAGTGCTGATACCAATGGGATTTTTCTAAATTACTCATAAGAAAGGAAAACTGTACGAGTGAAAATTTGTTCTTTATAAGAAATTCAACAGAATATATTGTTTGATCATATTTGGCCAATTGTATTTTTATTGATATGAAATATACGTATTTTGTATCACAACCTATAAATTAGAATTGATTAAACTTGAGTTGAATTGATTACAGTGCTAGTTGTAAATTTATTTCTGAATAGTTTACAAGTTGATGCTGAAACGTTCTTGACAGATGTGTCAAGAGGAATTAGAATAAAAATAAATCTAGTTTCATTAATTGATACACCTAAACTTACACAGCGTCATAGCAACGTTACTGTTTGTTTTACACTATTATAAACTGTGAAGCACGAGCTAAGACGTTTGTATTACTGAGTTTGTAAAGCTTTAAAAACTAACTGATGAAAAGGAATTTTTCTCACTAAATATTTTTCTGAGTACTGTAAATATATGTAGTACAAATGTAACCTGTACAGTTGTCTTGAAACAAAACATTTAAATTATGTTTATTTCTGAAAAATAAATAATGTTTGAATAACGTTTGCGTTACAGCTTTTAGTGAAGAACAGTTGGATGATGAAGAACCCTTTGTGTTACCATGTGGAGTAGAAAACTCATCATCCATTGTAAATCAACTGTGTTGTTTATCAAGACAAGTTATTCCCGGTGCAGTTGAAAACAAAGTAAGTGATTTTTGAACAGTTACCAGTATTCCAACTGTGCGTATAAAAGGTGATATTCATTCGAAGGATAACACATCCTATGTGCATAAGACATAACACTTGAAATTTCTACGTGGATTACGAATAGTGTATCAATTTCTCATTATTTTCAATTAGAGTTATGGAGATTAGCGTTTTCACACATTTGAAATCATCAATCAATCATCGTTAGACCACCACTAGAAACCTGGAAGCACTGGACGTCCATTTCGACCTGGTGTGGGACTCATCAGCAGCGAGCATCCACGACTCCTGTGCCTTACAGGATTCGAACCGTAGACCTCCGGTATTGTGCGCGAACGCCTAGCCTCTAGACCACCGAGCCGTTATCTAACAAGACCGAAAGTCTTGGTTCGAATCCTGAGAGATGCAGCAGTCGTGGACGCACACTGCTGACGAGTCCCAAACCAGGACGAAACGGCCGTCCAGTGCTTCCAGGTTTCTAATGGTGGTCTAACGCTGAAAGATTGATAATTTCTCATTAGCTTATAATTAATGTAAACAGCAGATTTAAATATTGGTATGAACAACTGACTGGAAATATGATGTCAGGTAGAAATATGAAACATTAGCAAGTCGGTACTCTGATTTTGGTAAAATGCAGTCTGAAACACAAACAGATGACTTCTCAATTTTTCCTTCTTTCCCCTACTGTTCTTGCGATTTCCAGTGACAATCATTTCCATCAGAATAATAATTTTCAGTGAGGAATGTACTTCAAAGTGACGTTTGTCTCACATTCAGTAGAAGATATGAAGTTCTATTACAAGATGTTGTTTAAAGAGAGTTAAGTACTATCACTTGGTTTCATGAGGTAGTCGAAAGAATTTGTAACTCAGGTGGATGATTGTGAGCTGGATGTTTAGTTATGGGCTTTTATGTCCTTCTGAAACATCATAAGCACTAAATTCAGACAGAGATGATGTATACGAACCTCTACATATATGACCCATAGCTTATTCTGTTAACCTCATTTTTGATTGGTTGCTATTAACCTGAAACCTGTCGTTGTCTGTTTTTTACTTTGACTATATCCCCCTTTGATCTGTTTCTTGATGCTATGTTTGTCTGTTATTTTTCTGATTGCTTGATAAACTGTTTCAGTGTCTATGTGTTTGTCGATAGCTTGCAGCACCTCACTATTTATTAATTTTATTAACTTTATTAATTTAGTCGTTTAAATTATTTGATAAACGTGTGGACCATATTTTTACTTTTGATAATTCGACAACAACATCGACGATGGTATTTTAGGTTGTGTATGCGCTTGCTAACTCTCTTATTACATGTTTTGCCTATTGTTGCCCGCCTATTATTACTTAGTCATGCTTCAGTGAATGAGTTGGCTCAATCACTTTCTACAAATTCCTTCGCTTGGATTGTGTGCATGAAATACATTCGTCCGAAAATCCGTATGAGGCTTCTTATTTAATTCATCGTTTATCGGATCATTCGTCTAAAATGGAGTCAAGAGACAGTACAGCCGTACTTCAAACTTAACGCAGCCACATCTAATTGACTTGAGAATCAAGCTTTGAGAAATTTTCTGATTTTCTTTCTGCTTTCTCCCCTGTATTTCAACATTGTTCTAATTAAATATATTTCCGTAGTTGTTTGTAAAAGTTTATAAAAGTCATTAACAAAGCTAAAATGGGCGTCCACTTTTCCTATTTGAACATCAGTTAGCAGTCAGACAGCATGACACTTCGTCGATTACCTACATATAGAATTCAGCTACCGCCATGCTAACTATTCGAGGTTTGACACTCTACTAGACCATAACGCACAAATTATTTGTAGTGTTAGTGTTAAATTGTCGATTCTACAAATGCGTATTTCAAAACACACCAATCTAACTGATTCATATCAAATTTGACATGACACAATGTCAAATAAATGACAATAAGATTGCTGGATATATTTTCATAGGTATTCGATAAATGTTGTCTTATCCCAACGATTTTCTTACTAACCAGAATTTGAAGAAACAACTGCTGTTTGAAATAAATGGTCTTCTGTTATCGTTTGAAGTAAGTTAATCTTGATAATGTAAAATTATTCGCTAATCACTAATATTCACACTCGACTC